TGAGTTTCAAACCATGATCTGGTGATTCTCACAAATCTAGAAATTCTTACCTGATCCAGCTGCTAACAGCAGCAGCATCAGAGTGACAGAGAACATGGTTGGTGCAGCTGAAACAATGAGATCTGATCCCCTTTTACAGGGTTTCCAGCTGAACTCTTTACATCCGTATCACAAGCAAAACCACAGAATTTGCATAGAGTTCCTACAGAGAAATAATTTTAATTTGTTTTGATTTGCAACAAGGTTTTGAAAAGTCTGAAAGAGAAATATTAAACACAGATTTGCATTTAAAGATGAAATATCTAAAATGAATCAACTTTTATTATACTTTATGAGTCATTTTATAAATACTGGACAACTTTCAGAATGTTTCTTGTTTTATGCTGTGTTTCCTGCAGAAGTAAACAACATAAAATGTGTCAGATTTTGAATTTGTTACAAATTCATTATCTCTCTATTTGTAAAGGCAAGATAAAAACAATAAGTTGGAATCAGTTTAAATGTGACACATTAGCCGTTGATCTTCAACATAACACAACTGCAAACTTTATATTATTTTTAATTTAAAAAAATCTTCACATAGTTGTCCATGTTTTTCTGTGCTTTTTTATTCATTGTAGTTTTTCACTCTTCAGCATGTTAATCTCTGATAATGAATTAAATTTAAAAAAATAAGTTTATTACCCTTACTACATATGCATGAGTCACAAATGATGGTTTACACGGTAAAACTCCCAAATAAAAACATCCAAAACTAATTATGCTGCATCTCTGCATTAATAAACGTAACATTTACAACAAATATTTTATATTTTTTGTCCTCCTTTTTTCTCAACTCTTGTCTTCCCAATCATGGTGGAACAGATTATGTGAGTAAAGGTGGAGAAAAAAATGACTACAGCTTTGGGTTGTGGGGGTTATGGGTGAAGCAATGAATGAGTGAAATGCAGAAAAAGTCATTAAAGTGTTAGCATCTGTACTGTTTGATTAAACAGAACAGACACATTATAATCACATTGCTCTAGGATTTTTTGTACAGCTGCTCCACTGTCTTCAGTCACTGTGCTCTCTTGCACAGAAGTAAACAGCAGAGTCCTCTGCAGTGAGACTGGTGATCTGCAGGAACTGAGTGCTGCTGGAAACATCCTGAGTGAAGCTGAAACGGCTCTGAAAGGAGCTGGCATAGGTAGCAACAGCTGTATATGTGTTTATCCACCCAATCCATTCTAAACCTTTCCCAGGTTTCTGTCTTATCCAGTTCATGCTGTAATCCGTCATTGTGTAACCAGATGTGACACATGAAATCTTCACAGTGTCTCCTGGTCTTTTCACCTCAGAGGATTGAGGCTGCTGCAATTTGATCTCACTCCAAACACCTATGGGAAACAAAAACATTACTTTTCCACCCTGTTTGTTTAACAGCTAACGCTTTTTCATTGAAGCATTAAAACTTACCATGAATGGTAAAAACAAAAACTAAGCTCCAGGAAATTAACATGTCTTTGGTATTAAGAAGTGATTTTTCCAAGTTATATTTGTAAAGTGGTCTCAGTGTTTCTCCTTCAGATAAAATGCTAGTTATTGACAGTGTGCTTGGTGTATTTATAAAGCAGAAAGAGTTTGCATAGACGTCCCCCTACAGGTTTAAGTGGGGAACATCTGAAAAAAAGTAACACCAAAATTCAAATTCATTGCATGTTTTGCCAACTTATGGGGATGTGAAGATTTTGTGAATATATTACCAGTTTGGTTTACAACGATGTCATAAGAAAACACAAATGATTATGTTCCCTGTGTTATAGCAGAAGTTCTTTAATGGTTAAGTTCTTGATATTGCTCTCCATTCCTCTATTATAATCTAGCTGCTGAAACTATGTGAAATGTACTTTTATATTAAAGTTTTGTCTTCATACATATTTCTACAAAACTCCATAATTCATTGAAATCAAGAGATTATCTTTGAAATTTACTTTCACATGTGGTTCTCTGATCTATTCCTTAAAGATGAAATCTTTGTGGTGGCCTGTGATGGTCTAGTGGCCTTTCACTGGATCCCCTCACTAAGTCAGTACTATAAAGAGGCAAACGGCTAACCATAACATTCCTTGCTGAAAGTATGGATTTCAGATTTTTGTTCTTTCTTTTTTCATTTATTTGTTTTGTAGCAGTAAAAAGTTCATCTAAATGTCATTTTCTCTCGCTTGTCATAGAACTTGCAACCAGATTGGTGTCCCTGTTGTTCAAAGAGAGCTCCCTCTGGTGGATAAGTTGTAATTACAAGTATTCAGGCCCTGATAGGTTTTTGTACAGCTCCGTTGCTTGCTTTTATAACTGTGGGTCTCTTGCACAGTAATACACAGCAGAGTCTCCAGGCTGCATATTCTGTCCATTCAGTGTCACTGTGCTACTGGAAGTGTCTAAATCAATACTGAACTTGTTCTCCAGTGATTTTTTGTAATATGAATCTCCTGTATATTTGCTCCCAATCCACTCCAGTCCTTTCCCTGCAGGCTGTCTGATCCAAGCTGTGTAGTAGCTGCTAACTGAATAAGAGACCTGGCAGCTGACGGTCAGAGTCTGACCCGGCTGCACAGTTAAAGAGCCTGGCTGTGTCAGCTGCTCACACATCACATCTGTGGAGGGAAAATATTAAATATTAAACCAGTTAAACAAAATGAAATAAATGAGTTTGGC